AAAAAAAAAAAAATTTGCTAAGCAAAAATCAGTATAAAATTAATTTTTGCATTTTTTTGTGTGTTGAAATTTTGTCCATCTGTTGCGCTTTTTCTTTTAGTACTTTTCTTCAGAACATTTGGATATGTCCAGCGTTACTTCATTCAACCACAGAAACAGCAGCAACAACCACAAATTTCACAGAAATCCCAGCAAAATGTTTTAACCCAATTGCGAAGAGCATTTACATGTTAGTGCAATGCATTGTTGTAATTTTGGGTTTTTTTTGGCTTCTGAATAGCTTTTTTTTTAAATGTATAGCCATTTTTGAGCTTATCATTGAGTTTGTCATGCTAAATCATGGGGATCTTCTAGATCCCTGTCTGGATAATCTTGGTTTTGATCCCCCAACATCGAGGATGACTAGACATAACACTGTGAACGTAAATTAGACCCAACGAAAGTGGTGCAGGCAAGGCAAGAGGAGTATTCTTGTACAGTTTTTCAAGGATTGGTACTTTGACTAGCTGCTGTTGAAAGCTGGTACTCCACTACGCTGCTGGCAACTTTTCTAATTGCTTTGTTACCAAAGCTGGCGATCCTGATGTCCTCTTTGTTTTACTTCACAGATTATCTAAATCTTGAAATTGTGAGTGGAGAAAAAGCTGAAAGAATCAATTTTTTTTGCTCGTAATTAGAATTAGGAGGTATTCCACTCTCAATATGTTACCGAGTACTGCTCTAAGTACCACTTTTCAAAAATTGACAAACTTCATGATTCAAATGATTGCAATTTAGTCCCAGCTATAAGTATTGCATTTACGGGATAAAGTACCATCGAAATTCGTCCGGTTTCATTGACGAGCTCTATTTCAACGACGTGAAGTATCCGTGGGGCAGCAAAGATGTCACTCATGCGGAATTCGAAAAAGCAGCCAAACCTCTCTGCACGGATCTCGTCACCTATGCTACAGGCACAGCTCCATTCAATGCTTTGTATTACTCCACTTGGGTGTTGGTCAGTTTTTCAACATTTCTTTTCAAATGCGAATCAGGAAACTGAGGTGATCTTAGTCTAAGTCTTAGCTGGAGGGATGGAGCTGGAGAAAGATTATTGATGTAATTCCGCCAGCACATGGGCATATTCCAGTAATATAGCTAATGTGGGAAAACCGACACTAATTACCAGTTCTTGGTATAATCAAGACCTGTTTTGAAAAGCCAAGTAAACGCCAAAGCAAAGCCGCTCTGTATGGGGTTGACTCTTTTCTTAGGTATGCATTAATTTCAGGATCAAAATACAGATTTTAATTGCTTTTTTTGTGATTTTTTTGATTCTCACATTTAAATACTTTGTTCCGCTGCATTTCATAGCGTCATTACCAGCATGCAGCTAGTGACTCTTCCAGTTACTCTGACTAATGCTGTATTGTCTGGTGACCAATCAACTGGTGATTCTGTGGTCAGGTTGCTGGCGATTCTGGCGGATCAGCTTGCTGATTTTTGTGCCCTGAAAAGAAACTGTTCGTTGGATAAAAACACAAACATTGCGCAGTTGTTCTTCTGAGGAGAAACATTCAGGATTCTCATGTTACCCACTAATTTCAGACAACCAACAATACGTATGTGGACATGTTCATGATTTGTTGTAAACCGTGCCCTACTGCTAACACCACTGCTCAGTGGCGCATTACCCTCAAGCTTCATTTCCTGATACGGCGACAATACAGTTTGATGAAGAATTACGTGTTGAAACAGATTCCTGGCGCTGTGGATAGTAAAGATATGTTTATCGACGAAAGCTACTACATAACCAATCGTATGCCAGAAGCCAGTGATTACGTTGTAACATGCAATATGGCCAATCTGCGGCGGGTATGATCATCTAAATTTTAACTGATGTCTTTCTACCTGTTTTAGTTATGCTCATTTTTTTAAATCACTAATATGACCGTTCCTAGGCTTCGCTGAAACACTTATTTGGTAATTTAAAGCCAGGGTAAAAAATTAGGAAAAGGAAAAAAAGAGAAGGAGAACGAAGTGAAAAAAAGGGAAGGGGAGTATTGAAATATTTGTAATTGGTAAGAAATGTTTTGGTCCTTAAGTCGTATACATTTTTTACCGTTACCACAGTTGGACCTCGTCAGTAAGGTGTCACAGCATGCTCTAAGGCAGTAAACTTGAGACGAGAATGTGGTGCTTAGTGCGCAACACTAAC